ACCAGTGATGTCACCTTCCGAGACAAGTGAAACACTACAATGCAAGAAGAGGGCAGGATGTATCAGCTTATGGGATGGACACACACACACACACACACACACACACACACACACACACTGGCCTATAACCTCCCAGTCTTAGAAGGTTATCCTAGGTCAGGAACCCTGACCCTGGGGCGCCTGAGTGGCTCAGCCAGTTAAGCGTCCAACTTCGGCTCAGGTCATGATCTCACGGTTTGTGAGTTCGAGCCCCACGTCAGGCTCTGTGCTGACAGCTAGCTCAGAGCCTGGAGCCTGCTTCAGATTCTGTATCTCTCTCTCTCTCTGACCCTCCCCTGCTCACACTGTCTCTCTCTCTCTCTCTCTCTCAGAAATAAATAAAACATTTTAAAAATTTAAAAAAAAAAAAAAAAAAAAAAGAACCCTGACCCTGAGACCAAGGAAGGAGAAAAGAAATGCAGGACTGCTAGAATCTCTGACCTCCATGCCTACAAACCCTCCAGTGCAGCTAAAGTTGTCTGTTTCTTGGTGCTCCTGTCATGGTAGCCCAGGCCTTTGCTTGCTTTTTCCATTCTGGAAATGCCCCCTCCTCTCTACTCTCGTCCTCAGGGCATCTCACCTTTCTCTGATCTCCCTTATCCATAACCATTATGTGTGCCTCAGGAAACATTATTTGGTATATTTTTGTGTATAACATAACTGTAAAAATCAGGACTTCTAGATCCAGGCTGCCTGGGTTTGAAGACTAGCTCCTCTGTTTACTAGTTCTGTGACCTCAGACTACATATCTTCACCTCTCTTTCAGTTTTCTCATCAGCAAAATAGGAATAAAAACAGTAATGATCTCATGGGATTGTTGTGATGTTTAAATAAAGCAATCTACTCAATAGCATTTAACCCAATGCTTTATCATAATCACTCAATAAATGTTACATAATATAGTATTGAGTTCTGCTTCCCTCACTTGACCATAATGCATATTATACCTCCTAACAGCACTGTAGACCTCCTAGCCCAACGTGCTTTTTATTATAATGCCTCAACTAAGGAAACAGTAGTTCGAAAAAAATTGAGTAGCAGTAGGAAGATCTCTAGTTCTTCAGGCTCCATCACTTTCTAAATGTATGATCGCAAACTAATTTACCTGAACTTCAATTCCTTCTCCTATGAGAAAAATATCTAATACACAACGTGGGTATAAAATGATACAATGTGAATGTGCCCACCAGGATATCACACACATAGTAGGTTCTCAACAAATGTTAATTAAAAATGACTCGGAAGAAGGGACACCTAGCCAGCTGAGTAGGTGGAACATGTGACTCTTAATCTTGGGGTTGTGAGTTCAAGTTGGGTATAGAGCTTACTTAAAAATAAAAAATCTTTAAAAAAAATGACTCTGGGGGAAAATGACAGATCTGTCCCCCAAGAAAAGAGGAAGTGTGTAATGGGTTTCTAGCACTATTGCCACTCCTTCCCATGCCTGCTAAAATAAACTGCATTGTCTTTTCCTTGGGCCCTGAGATCATGAGTGAACAGCTCTCCCCATACCTGGAAAGACAGGTAGTGGAAGAAGTCTCCATGTTAGCCTATGTGAGACCCAATTCCAAGACAGTGCCCTTTGGAAGCTGTATCCAAAGGGCTTAGAGCAGTTCCTAGTACATAGTGGAATCTACCTAAATATCTGTTGAATAAAAAGGAAAAAACAAAACAAAAACAAAAACCCTCCTAGCAATGAAGCTGAGGGAAGGTATTCCAATCTCTACTCTTCTCTGTGAGGAAGTTTTTGGGTTTTTTTTTGTGGTTTTGTGTCTGTGTGGCTATTGAAAAGGCTATCTTCTCCTACCCCTAGAGGAGTTGGCATCCAATTATGGGGGTAACTACAGTCGTTACTATAAACCCTAAATAAGACAAGAACTTTCCTACAACTCAGAGACTCCTCAGCAAACCCAATTCTTGGCTCCCAAATCTGAGGCTTTCTCCCACCTTGCTCTCATTACTGCCAGACCCCAAGGCAAATTCAGTCATAGATCTGCCCATACAGATCCCTACCTTTAGTTCCCCTCCTCTCTCCTTCAGGGACCCTATTCCATCCTCACCTCCACAGCATGCATCAGCCCCCACACTGCAATCCAAAACCCATCACCAAAGCCTGTTCTCAGGCAGAAGTAGGCTCCCTGAAGGCATTTCAGTCCCCATTTTCCATTATTAATGGGCTGCCAGAAGAGAATAGAAAGTTCTTCTGTTCCTGCCCAGCAACTCCTCCCCACCAACAGAGTCTCTTGGTGGGGGTGGGGGTGGGGGGGTGGGCAGTAGAGGGGCAAATTCTAAACTGTGATTCCTAAATGAAGACTGTATTGGTGAGACTGGAGTACAGGCTGTGCCAGCATAGCTGGGGAGTGAGTAGCAACGCTCAGCTATAATTAGTCACCCCCACAGCAGAGCCTGCACAACAGGGAGAGGGAGGAGGGTCTCTGGTGGGAGGAGGGCCCACTGGCTGCTCAGAAGTGGGGAGGAAGGGGCAGAAGTAAGGAAAAGCAGCTCTATTCAAGATAAGGAATGTGAAGCACAAGTTGTGCAGACAAAAGGAGGTCGGATATATGAAAGCACCTAGTGTAGGCAGCACATAGTAAGGCCCTGATAAATAAGGGTTTTGTTTGCTTTGTTTTGTTCACCCTGAAGTGGGAAGAATGCAGACCTGAATTATGTCGGGGGGGGGGGTCCCCGCTAAGCACACCTAAGGAATGGTGCATCTATAGAGGAGAAGAGGGGAACTAGAGAAAAATGGACAGTCTAGAATCCCAAGAGAGTGGACACTTGGACATGATCTCTTGGGTGGGAAGACTGCTTCTTCAGGACCAAGATGCCTGAGTTTTCCGGAGAACACTATCCCTTCAACATCCCCATCCCCACTCCCTCGGCGCTGACAGAGGGTTCTAGGAGCCTGGCGATTGCTGGAGGAGAGGCCAGCCCGAAGGGTTTACTGCAATGGGGAAGAGGGAGGGCAGAGAGGCAAAGGAGTCTAGGGATGAGGCTGGAGAGAGCAAGGGCAGCCCTTAGAGAAGGCAAAACCTCAGACCTCCCCCACGGAAAGGGGAGGAGGCAGAGCCACAAGAGAGAGCGCAGGAACTCTGTAAGAGCCCGGATTTGTGGAATCGGAACCTGAGACCTGGCTGGCACTGTGCAAGAAGCCAGCCCAGATCTGGGGACTAGGGGTTGGGGGCGGGTCCGCTGCCAGCCACCGGCCTGGCACTCGCACGGACGCACTCACCTATTTTGGCCAGGCTGGCCACCAGGATCCACAGGGCTACCAGGTAGGGCGCCTCCACTTCGTGCCACTGCCAGCGGAAGAGTGCCAGCCCTGGAGGAGGCTCGCCGGGCGACCCCGGCTCCTGGGTGGGCTCTTCGGTTGTGGCCGCCCCCGCCAGGAGCAGCCAGAGCAGCGGTAGTGCTGCGCGCAGCATCCTGCAGACTGCCTAGCAGCCCTCCCGGCACCGCACGGCCGCCGGCCTCGCGTCGCTGCCGCGCCTACCGGCCGCCCCCGCGTCACGAGCACGTGGGGCCCGCTCCCCCCAATCCTGGCTCCGAAACCCCCAAGCCGAGTCCGGACTCCGAGACCGTGCTCCGGGCGCCCGGACTCTGGACCCCTGCTCCTCCCCCACTAAATCAGTCTCAGCTCTGGAAATCCCCCAGTGCAGCTCTCCCCCAAGTCCCGAAACCTATTCCTTCGAGTCCGCTCTTCCAAACCTTCCTCAACGCTCCCCCGACCCTGTTTCAGAACTGTAAGCGGCCACAGCCCTCCAGAGGCACTACCTTGTCCTACCCGCCCAAGGCTGTAGCCCGCAGGGGAGGGGCAGGGGTCTGGCGGGGACGGGGTCCAGGCCGGAGGGGCGCGTCTCCAACGCGAGCGCAGACCCACTGCTGTTAACCAAGGGCTCGGGCCCCGACGCTGCCCCGTGCAAACGGCAGGTGGCAGTGCGCCGCCGCCCTGCGGAGCCTAGGACCCCCTAGGGCCCCCGCCCAGACCAGAGCTGCGCAAGCGCACTGGGCGCGCCCAGAAAGCCGTGATGGACAACGCTGTCCTCCAAGTCCCCAGAAACTCCAAGGCCTAGACTAGGCCCAGCTCTCATTCCAGGGTGAAAAGGAAGCTGTCCCTCTTTATCTCTCAAACCGAGGAGCGCCCGGCCACACTTTCCGTCAAACTACAGGGAAGTCTCCTCACCTTTTTCTTGCAACTGAAGGGAACGTATCTTCTTTCCCTAAACTATGGAAGACCCAGCCTATCGATTCCCTTCAAACTAACAGGGATCCCCTCACCTTTCCCCCAAACCTGAGGGGGCATGCGGCTAATCTAGCCCCAAACTGAGGAGGACCGTATCCATTTTTCATTCAAGCTAAGAAGCAACCATCCCACTTCGTCACCCAAACTGAGGAAAAACATGTTCTACCACCCCACTGAAACTGAGTCAGCACATCGTTTTCCCAGAGCTGAGGGGCATCCATCCCTCTTCTTACGCCATCTAAAGGGAAGAAGTCCCACCTCTTCTTCAAGCTGGGTGGAATCTATTTTCACTTCTTGCTCCAAACTAAAAGGGATCCATCTCCATGTTTTCCCCCAAATGACGGAATCCCATCCACTTCATTCCTTAAACTGAAGGAATAAGGGCCATCTCGTCCCTAAACACAGGGAGACCTGGCTGGCCACTATCTAAAGAAACTTCCGCCACACCTGCCCGAAGAACCCTTCGACCAGAGCGCAGCCTCATCGCCCCCAAGCCCAAAGAAAGCCTCCCCGACCTGGGCGCGCTCTTGAAGGCGGGGCGCGAGCTTGGGTTTTCCCGCCGGCAGAGCCAGTGAACTAACGGGATCATGATTGAGCCCTCTGACTGGCTGGCGACAAGCCCCGCCTCCAGTAGTGGTAGCTCCTCGCGGCGTGTTCAGGGACTACTCTTAGCTCCACCTCCTTCCTCAGCCCCGCCTCCGTGTGGCTCCTCCCCTCCTCAACAGCGTCCGGTCCGGCCCGGCCCAGACAGCCGAGCTACTTTTGTAGAAGCCGCCGCGGGGTTGGGATCCTCCCGGAGGCGCACGGCGTGAAGCCAGTGACAGAACCATGGCGGGCGAAGAAGACCGCGGAGATGGGGACCCGGTATCAGTGGTGACCGTGCGGGTGCAGTACTTGGAGGACACCGACCCCTTCGCATGTGCCAACTTCCCGGAGCCGCGCCGAGCCCCCACCTGTAGCCTGGACGGGTCGCTGCCCCTGAGTGCACAGATACCCAAGCTGCATCGCCTATTGGCGGCGCCGCTGAAGGTGAGGCGGCCTAAAGAAAGATTGGGGGCGATCAGAAGTTCACGGTCGGCGCCATGAAAGCCTTTGGGAGGTACCCCTCGGGGAGGGGCGGGAGTGGATGCGTTCCTTCCGAAAAGTCTTGGGCTGGGAACCTAAGGTCCAAGCTGCCCCACTTTAGCGGGACGCCTCTCAAGTTGAGCGAAGCTGAAGAAGGGAGGTGGGAGCTTGTTGTCTCTGCCACTTTGGCTGCCCCCTCGAAGTGAGGCCCACCTGGGGAGGTGTCCGGGGTCTATTCGCTGTCTGTCTGCGTGGGTACCGATCTGGATACGGTGACAGTAAATGTTTGGGTGGTAGCGGACAAGGAGTTAGGAGCTGGGAAAGGACCAGCTTCCACCTGCTTCAGGTGAGGTGGGGCGGGACCAAGAGGAGGGGCGGGTCCGGGGCGGGCCACTGGGGGTGGCAAAAGCTTCGAGCGGTTTCTGTTGGCTGGATTGGGTCCTGCCCCATAGAGCGTTGCCCCTGTAGGTGGGGGCGCGGCTCGAGAAGGCCCGTAGAAGAGAGACTTCACTGAGTGCGGGGAGTCCCCGGGAAGCGGCCCGGCCCGGGACACGCAGAGAGCCAGTGGCTGCACTGGTGGAAAAGCCCTTTGAGTCACCGCCCCCAACATCCCGTACTCCAGCCTTCACCGGCCCACGGGTAGAAGGGAGGGGGCGGGCCGGGCTAATTTTAAACCGCCGGCCTGCCCTAGTTTGCCTGCGTACCGACAGTGCTGCGAGAGGCCCTTTTCCAGATGGTTGGCCCTACCTCCCCTCCGGCTCCCTGAGCTCAGCCCCCCGCAGGCAGCCCTTTCCGGCGCGCTGGGTTTCCGGGCCAGGACTCTGGGAGTTGCACTACCACCCCCCAGGGTTCCCCGCCGGCCAGTCCTCACCGAGTGGTGAGGAAAAGAAGAGGGAGTTGGTGGGGGTGTCCTCCCTTGCTCTCAGCCTTAGCTGGGGGGCGAATTGCGCAAACTTGCCCCCTGGGCCCGGGGTCTCCCCTGGAATGTGCCCCGGGCGCCGGGCCCCCAGCCTGCATTCCTTGCTCTGCAGGCCAGCCCCGCCTCTGAGCGCGGGCGGGAGAGTTGGTGAGATTATTGGCCCCGGAGTGGCGCGTGTCCGGGCAGAGCCCGAACTTCAAGGCCACGGCTTGAAGGTTGCAGCACACTGCCCACTTTAGAATTTTGATGCAACCCTTTTTGTTGTGTCCTGTTCAAAGGGGGAAACTGAGGTGGGCCTGGAAGAAGAACATCCAGCCCGAGGCCACTTTCAATTCAGGATGGGCACTGGAGAGAAGGGTGCTAAATTGAAGCCAGTTCCTGCCTTCAGGCTTGTAGAACTCCTGGTGCTGAAATAAGCCTGGAGCATTACAGAGAACAGTATTCCTTCTACTCCTACTCTAGGACAGGACTTAGCCCTAACACCTCTCTTCCCAATTAGGGGCAGATTTGGGAGGTTGGGGACAGGAAAGAACCACCTCTTGCTTCTTCCTCTCATTTAGGGACCATCTCCCTACTGCACCAGGTGTTCTGTCCTCTGTTCTGTGCTCCCTAGCTAAGGACACTACTGAGCTCAGGTAGAGAATGTGTTAAGTACCCCCCAGCTCAGACATTCCTGATCTCCCTACTTTAGGATATCCCACTTGGGGTACCTGAGGACACAGGCAGGATATGCTGGTGGGCACACTGGGTTACTACTGTGCCTGTAGCCAGGACTCCCTGGGGCTGGCAGCTTTGCCAGGAATGGTCAGATACACTGTGATGTGTTCATCCCAAATATAAACTGTGACCACAGCCCCAGAATAGAAGGCTGAAGGAAGAAGGGCTGAGAATAGGGTAGGGGCAGGGACATCAGAGAGCTGAGAAAGGGGGAGCAGGGCTCCCCCTTGCAGGAAATGTCAACAGCTGGTTCCTGCCCAAGTCCTATAAGTGTGTGCCCCAGGGGCACAGACACACTCAAGCCTGCCTAGATAGCCCTATAGAGAGGAAAGGTGGCCTAGAAACCCAGGCATTCCCATCCTAGTCCTAGAGCAGAAATAAAAGGGAGGGGCCCTCTATCTACTCATTGCTTTATCCTCTGTACATTTGTCTAGTAGAGGAATGGGATACAGCCAAGTGGACATCTACCCTCCTCCCATTCTGGGCACTGACCTTCATCATCCCTGCAGACCCCGTTTCCTCCCTGGGAAAGCACAAAGGCCCAGCCCACTTTCTCTCTGGGGCTCCACCCCACACACCCCCACTGGGCTGGGCCTAGCCACTAGAGTTCCCCTGGGGGCTTCCTTTTTAAACGGTTTAGAGCTTTCAGATCTGAGAAAGCCTTGCTCATTTCCTCCTAGTCTAGGAGGAAGCTCCTAGCCACAGCCTCTGACTCATCTCCTGGCCTTGGGAAGGGGGTTGGTGAAGGGGGGTGGAGAGGGTCCTGGCAATGCTTTCGGCCATGCTGGGTGTCCCCAGGGTAATTTAGAAGTATCTATCTTCCCTCTGTTGCAAGCCTCTCCAAGTCCAGGGACCTGCTCCCTGCCCAGGGGAGAACCAGGCCCTCTGTGGCCCTCTGGCCCTGCATTTCATCTCTTTAGCAGAGCTCTGGTACCTTTTGGTCTTCTGGGCAATGCCTCAGGAGCCCCTCTATGACACCTAAAGGCCCTGCCACATCCGAGATAGCACTGACTTCTCCACGGGCTCTGGGCAGTGAGACCTGAATGCTGCTCTGTCCCTGATGCAAAGGCCAAAGGAGTCCCCTATGTCTAGCAGCAGGGATAGCCCTAGAAATCTGTCACCAGTAACTCCTGTTTCCCCAGCTGTGGCTAAAGATAAAAGGAGGACAGGTGTGACACTGTCCTGGAATGTTTCCTGACCTTATACCCTCCCTACTTCAGCCTCAGTTTACCCCTCAGGAGCAGTTGTTTGCAAGGGGGCTAAAGTGTGAACCTGACCTGCTGGGACAGGGACCAACTGGAAGGGTCCCACAGGATTCTTAAGGGTAAGATGGGGTTCTCTGATGATGAACTGAGTCCTTTATTCCCCTGATACTGAGGTCTTTTGGGGATACTAGAAGATTGGGATGTGGGCATGGATCATGGCCTTCTCCCAGTTTTCCCTAGGACCACCATGTCCAATTTACTGGTCATTCTGGGCTAGGGAGCCTGGGCTGCAGCCTGGTGAGCAACCTTAGGACTTAGGTCCTCCCAGATCTTGGCACTGTTACCTTGGCGTGTATGACATGTATGGTGTGTATATTCGTGTTCCTTTGCTTGCTACAACTTGGAGGGCTAGTTTGGGGTTTGTGCAGAGTCCAGAAAGCTGAGGGGGCATCTTTAGCCCTTGACAACACTATAGGCTTCAGCCCTCCCTTCACCTTCCCTCCAGGGTTTCCTGGAGCATTTCCAAAGTCCATCTACCCAAAATCTAGCTCAGTTAGCCCTGGTTCCATTCCTGGTTGTGCTGCCTGGGGTATATTCACTCAGGTTCTGAGCTTTGGTTTCCTCACCTGTAAAAGGATTATCAGGAAAGGGGTGGGGGTTGGCTGGCTCAGTTGGAAGAGCATGTGACTCTTGATCTCAGGGTCATGAATTCGAGCCCCATGATGGGTGCAGACATTACTTAAGTAAATAAACCTTAAAAAAAAAAAAATTATCTGGGGTAGCTGGATTGCTTAGTCAGTTAGGCATCTGACTTTTTAAAAAAAAAATTTTTTTTAATGTTTATTTAATTTTTGAGAGCGAGAAAGAGACAGAACATGAGCAGGGGAGGGGCAGAGAGAAAGGGAGACAGAGAGTCTGGAGCAGGCTCCAGGCTCTGAGCTGTCAGCACAGCGCCCGATGGCAGGGCTTGAACTCACAAACTATGAGATCATGACCTGAGCTGAAGTCAGATGCTAACCCGACTGAGCCACCCAGGTGCCCCAGGCATCCCGCTCTTGATTTTGGCTCAGGTCGTGATCTCACAATTCCTGAGACCTAGCCCTGTGTCAGGCTCTGCTCTAACAGTGGAGCCTGCTTAGGATTCTCTCTCTCCTCTCTGCTACTCCCCTACATGTGCCTGTGCGTGTGCACTCTCCTTCTCTGTCTCTCAAATAAACTTTTTTTTTAAAAAAGGATTATCAGGAGACTCAAATAACTAGGCAACCTAGTACATGACACAGAGGAGGCATAACTAATATGGGTTTCCCTCCTCAAGGCCCATCCATAGTGTCTCATCTAGGAAGTCATGGTCTAGTTGGAAACCCAAGATAACAAGAGAAGGAGGGTTGTTAGAGCACAGGATCTCTCTCGTGTTTAAAATTTATTTCATTATGGGGCACCTGGGTGGCTTAGTCGGTTGAGCGTCCGACTTTCGCTTAGGTCATGATCTCGCGGTTCATGGGCTCGAGCCCCACATCGGTCTCTGTGCTGACTGCCAGCTCAGAGCCTGGAGCCTGTTTCAGTCTGTGACTCCCTCTCTCTCTGACCCTCCCCTGCTCATGCTGTCTCTCTCTCTCTCTCTCCTAGAAATAAATAAAACATTTAAAAAAATAAAAATAAAAATAAAAAATAAAATTTATTTCATTAGTTATTATTTAAGTGACCTCTATGCCCAACATGGGGGTCAAATCATGACCCTGAGATCTAGAGTTCCTCTGATTGGGCCAGCCAGGCATCCCAAAGGTCTTGTGTTTATAGGAAAGCAGAAGAAAAAAAGCAGCAAAATTATTTCCTAAAATAGGAGTCCTTCAGCATATAATTCTGCCGTCTTCTCCATATTCTTTCCCTGCCCCTGGCATGATCATTCTTGCCTGATTTGCATTTATGAAAAATATTGGGGAGTAGACACCACGGGGACCATGGTCCCCTACGTTTGGCCCTGTGTTTAAAACCATATGTGACAAGTTGGTTTAGGCTGCCAGAAAAGCTTGAGGCCAGAGAATCACGAAAAAGTGGGCTGCATGCTGAAGGGTCTGAGCCTGGGAAGAATGGAGAGGACTCCACTCTAAGACAGACACAGATAAGCATGAAAGACAAAAGCCAGAAAGGAGTCAAGGATGTGAGCCACACTGGCCCTGTGTTGACCCTAAGCACTGTCAGCAGGAACGAGGGTTCATGCTTACTCTGGCCTGGCCTGGCCTGGCCCAGTCCCAGGGTGTGAGAAACAAGCCCCAGAGGTTTGGCTCTCAGAAGGGTGACCCAAAGAAGGGGACAGGGGTGTGAGGGACAAGCACCACCCAGCTGACAGGAAGTCTCTGTTCTTTGCTATCCTAGCCTACCACACGCCCCCCCCCTCCCGGCTCTACCCAGGACAGGCAGCTAGGTTGGGGTGGGGGGCACCAACCTGGAGGCTTTCGGCTGGCTGTTACCTCTGGATTTCTTCCTAGAAATGGGGCCCTGGAAGAATAAGACAAGTAAAGTGGTTATGGAGGCCACTGCTGCCACCATGGAGGGAAAGGGGTTAAACCTGCTCATCTGGGTGGTAGAGCACTTGACCTTTAGGACCCTACCCCAAATAGATGCAGGCATCTTGGAAGGAGTGGCCCATTTTCTGCTTACTTGGGATTACAGCATGCAAGTGTGCTTGCAGGAGGGAAAAGACCCTGCTGGATCCAAGCTTTCTGTAGATGTGCTTCTTGGGCTTGTGCTCCTCCAGAGCATGCATTTTACACACACACACACACACACACACACACACACACACACACACACACACACACACACACCAGATTGTAAACCTGGGTGTGGAAGTACATACCAGGCATAAGCTAATCACCCACCAGTGTTTACCTTTATGGCACTCTGACCCTCTCCTTTCTTAGTCCTCATGGCAGTTGTGCTTCTACATTTATTTGTGATCTTTTTCTTTTTTCTTTCTTTCTTTTTTTTAATGTTTATTTATTTATTTTGAGAGAGATAGCACGAGCATGGGGAAGGGACAGAGAGAGGGGAAGAGAGAAAATCCCAAGTAGGCTTCACACTGTTAGTGCAGAGCCTGATGGGGGCTCAATCCCACAAACCATGAGGTCATGACCTGAGCTGAATCAAGTTGGACACTTAACTGACTGAGCCACCAAGGCACCCACTTGTGGCCTTTTTCTGAGGCAGCTCTGCCTGCCTCCCCAGCTGGTCTCACCACTATGTCCTCAATACTTAAAATCAGCCTGGTTCACAAATGTTTGAATGAATGAGCTATTCTTTATACATATGTGTGTGATTGGGGGGATCCCTGAAGGGGTTTGTTGCTCTGGGGCTGTGGCAGGGTGTGTGGATATGCTTCACTAGAGCCCCAGAATTCTCTAGTCCAAGGTGAAAGGAGATGCAGCTATGCCTGGATGGGTGTGGAGTGGGTAGGCTGCTGAGTCACCATGTGGGAAGAGGGATCAGGAGGAATATGGGGCTGCCCTCAGCTGAGCTGGCCCAAGATGAAGTACCCCAGGCCTGGGGCCTTGCCACCCCATCTCAGGCCTGTTCCTACTAGGCCCTGGAGAAGATGACTCTGCTCCCAGGGAGAGGAGAGAGGCCAGGCCCGCCCAAGGCGCCCAAGGGAGGGCAGGCAGCCAGGCAGGAAGTGGGACAGAGAACAGGCTGGAGTGTTTGTCCTATGTCCCATGTCCCAGGCGTGGCAGGGGGGGAACGGGGGGAGGAGAGGGGGTGTCACCCAAGGGCCTCACAGGCTGAACTGCCAGGAAGGAGCTAGGTCAGTCTCTCAGGCATGAGCAGGGGTGCAAAGCAGAAATAGGTAGGGGTAGAAACTAGACTCCGTTTCTCCCAGGGGACCAACAGCAGCTGGAAGCCCTTGGACTGGGCCCAGGGCAGGGCAGTGCTGACAGAACAGTAGGACAGAATGTTGGGATTGACTTTCCCAGTAAGATGGAAACCAGAAAACACCCTGCTTTTCCAGAGGTGGGCTCTCCCTGGGCCATGGCAACTCAAGGAGCAGGGCCACTCAATACAAGGGGAGTTTGCTGAGCCCTGCATACTGGCTCTGCGCTATGGGGGAGGTGTCTGGGAGAGGCAAAGTGCTGCCCTCAGACTCTCGGGAATAACTTTTCTACAGGTTCCTTCTACAATGCAGGTTTCAGGGACCCACTATAGACTGATAGAGTTAGACCCTAAAACCTAGTTTTTAATTAGGCCCCTTGGAGGCCTCTGAGTTCTAGCTCACTTGGGGCAGGGTAAAGGCTCTGAGGCCTGAAGGGACTGATAGCCTATGGATTATTCACTGCTCCTCACTGTCTCAATTCAGGGAGACACACATATCCTACACACACATACACAAACACATACACACACACACACACACACACACACACATACACATACACACACACACATTCCTTCCATCCAGCTGAGTTTGTACCAACATTCTTAACACTTTCTCCCTGAGCTTGAATGTTTTGTGGATGCAGCTTATCACCCCCAGGGCTGTCAACTTCCTCGAAGGCAGAAACTTCCTCCCATCTTCTCTCTATGCCTTTTCCTTATTGATGTTCACGAGCTCAACAATGTTTAGTGAACACTTACTGTGAGCCAAGTACGGTGCTAGGCTCTGTAGATATAGCATGGGACAAGACAGAGATGCTGCCTGTACCCAGAGAACTCATGGTTGGTGGGGAGGAGACTAGTGTCTAGGATATTATAATGCTGTGTACAAGGCCTCACACATGGGAGCTACACCCATGGGGTGAAACAGGTTACATAGCACTGGCTAGAAGAGTCTAGGAAAGTTCCAAAAAAAGCATTACCTAATCTGAAACATACAGAATGGGTAGGTGTTAGCTGGAAGACATAGCACATACAAAGGGCAAGAAAGCCTGGCACCGGAGGTAGATGGGCTTCACGCATAGTAGGCCCATGAGAAATGACTGCTAAAGGAATGCATGGCTGCAGCACACACCCTGTGGTATGCCTCTCTGCTGGCTCTCTGAATGGGAGTAGAAGGTCCTGGGGTCTCCATACATATCCCTACCACCTCTTTCCCAGCCCTGACAGCTCTTCCCTTTGTCCCCAGCTGGAGGACTGCGCCCTACAAGTGTCTCCCTCTGGATACTACCTGGACCCTGAGCTGTCTCTGGAAGAGCAGCGGGAGATGCTGGAGGGCTTCTATGAAGAGATCAGGTCAGAGCTGATGGGACCAGGAAGGCAAGGCTGGCCCCTACCCTTGCCTCCACCAGGGGCTGGCTCAAGTGTCAGCAGCCAAAACACCTGATCTCTAGCCTAGGCTGAGGGTCACCTCCTGCCACCCCACGGGACTGTGCCAGGGGAATCCCAAGGCCTGGCCAGAGTTACCTGATGCCTGGGATATGAGGGGGGGTGACCTCCCACATATCTGAGATACCTATTTTGCACAAACCTTCCTGTTGAGGAGGAGGGAGTTGGGCCAGGGGTGGCGTGTGGGGTGGTCTTTAGCTGCCTTGGTGTGGGGGGCAGGGACCCTTAGGAATGGCCCGGAAACTACTGACTAGGCTGTTTGATCCCAGCAAAGGGCGAAAGCCTACACTTATTCTGCGTACTCAACTCTCCGTGAGGGTCAATGCCATCTTGGGTGAGTGTATGAGGACATTCATGTCCAGAACTGCCCCTCCCCAGCACTGCTGGCTCAGTTTCTTTCAGGCCTGGGCTGGACAGTGGACAAGGCACATGGGAGACAGGATGTGTGGCCCCCTCTCATTCCTATCCTGACCTCTCCTTTCAGGGCCAGGGCTGATGCTGCAAGTAAACCAGATTGGGGGTTGCCCAGAGTCAGGGAGTGGAGGAGGAGGTAGGGGGTTCGAGAGTACTAGAATATTGTTTGGTGAGGGGTTGTGTCCCCTTGAGGTTTCCATGCCCACCTACCCCTTGCAGAAAAGTTGTATGGCTCCAGTGGCCCTGAGCTCCGCCGTTCCCTCTTCTCACTAAAGCAGATCTTCCAGGTGAGGCCCAGAAGTGGGCTGGGGGTGGGTGTCCAGTCTGAGCCCTGCTTAAATTCCCCCATGGTGCCCCCAGGAGGACAAGGACCTGGTGCCTGAATTTGTGCACTCAGAGGGGCTGAGTTGCCTGATCCGCGTGGGTGCTGCTGCCGACCACAACTATCAGAGCTACATCCTCCGAGGTCAGTCCAACCCCTCCCCCATGACCTCTGCCTTCAGTGACCCCTTACTGACCTCATCTTTTCTCTGTGTCCCCAGCACTAGGCCAGCTGATGCTTTTTGTGGATGGGATGCTGGGGGTGGTGGCCCACAGTGAGACTGTGCAGTGGCTGTACACACTGTGTGCTAGCATGGTAAGTGGCCCTCCACACAACCATACACCCTTTTCTTACTGCCTCTCTCTGGACTTCAGTCTCCTATTCTGCAAAGTGGGCTGGAATTGAATGAGTCTGAGGCTCCTCCAACACCTGGGTCTGGGGCCAGGGTCTTTCTGCCTAGACTCTCCTCTGTGAGTCCAGCCCCAGAAGCCCTTACCCCTCCCCACCAGGATCTGGCACAAGTCTGGGCCAAGCCCCACTCATATGTAGTGACCTCTCCCCCTAGTCCCGCTTAGTGGTGAAGACGGCCCTGAAGCTGTTGCTGGTGTTTGTGGAATACTCTGAGAACAATGCTCCACTGCTTATCCGTGCGGTCAACTCTGTGGCCAGCTCTACAGGTAAGAGACTGTTCCTTCCACCCCCCTACCCCCAGCCCCCACTCAGAGCCCTCTCTCCTACCTGTCCCTGCATGACTGCTCCCCTTTCTGTGTATCAGGCTCTCTTCCTTGGGCCAATCTGGTGTCCATCCTGGAGGAGAAGAATGGCGCTGACCCTGAGTTGTTGGTGTACACAGTCACCCTCATCAACAAGGTGGGGAGGGCCGAATAGGGGGGGAACCAGGCGCCATTTCTGGGCCCCTTGGACTCCTGACTTCCAGTCTCCATCAGCCTTAGCCTTGTCCTCCCATCTCCACCCTCTAGACACTGGCAGCACTCCCGGACCAGGACTCCTTCTATGATGTGACAGATGCACTGGAGCAGCAGGGCATGGAGGCCCTGGTCCAGCGCCACTTGGGCACCTCCGGTACTGATGTGGACCTGCGCACACAGCTTGTGCTCTATGAGGTGGGCTGGGCCATCTGGGCGCTACTGGAGGGGAAGGAGGAGGTGCAGTTCACCAGCACCTCACCCTATCTATGTAGGTCTCAGGGACTCACATCTAGGTCTACCTCCACTAGAGTGCCCTGCGGTTGGAGGATGGAGACATCGAGGAAGCTGTTGCAGGTGGGCGGCGGGAACGCAGAAAGCCCTCTTCAGAGGAGGGCAAGAGGAGCCGCCGATCTCTAGAAGGTGGAGGCTGCCCTTTGCGCTCAACCGAGCCTGGGTAAGATAGAACTTGCCCTAGCACTTGGGGAGAGGTGGATCTGCCTGCAGTTAACTGCTCTGTTGACAAGCCCCGCCTCCAGTCCCGCAGGCCCTGCCTCTAGCCGCGCAGGCCCCGCCTCGCAGACCGGCCCCGCCTCCAGCCCCGCAGACCCAGCCTCAATGGTTATCTCCACCTATTCCACTGGCCCTGCCCTGTCGACAGGCCTGACCTCCAGCCTTGCGGGCTCAGCTTCTGGCCTCCTTACCCCGGTGAACCTCTTTCCTGCCATCTCCGTGGGGTCCTCAGCCGACAGCTCCAGTGAGAGGAGCATTTATAAGTAAGTAGGGAGATAGAGGCCACCCCTAGAGTCCTGTCTCCAGCTGTCCCTCCACTCTGAGCCTCTCCACAGGCACTCCACCTCCTCTGCCCAAACTCCTCTGCCCAAACGCATGCTTTCTCTTTCTTTCCAGACTTCACCAAACTGCTCCTGTTTGGTAAGTGACTGCTGAGGGGTGGGGTTCAGCTCTGTCTGACTGGACCTCTTCCTCCTGTTTCTTGTCTCTTCATCTCTTTCTGGCATTCCGCCTGTATTTGCCACTTTGTCATCTATCTCCTTGCCCCTCTCCTTTGTTTCTCTGTCACTGTCTCTTGACTCTCTTGTTCTTTGTCTCTTGCTATACCCTGTCCTGCTTCATGTTAGTCTTTCCCCTCCATTTCCAGTTTCCTCACGTCCTGCCTCCCCTACCCCTCCTCTTCCCACTGGGGCTGGGAAGGAGCCCCTGATATTACTGCCCACTTCTGTGTGGGTATAAGCAACTGGGCTTTGGAGTGGAGCAGGCACCATAATTACCATCTCTTCCTCTCGTCCCTCCTACCCAGGGCCCCTGAGAGCCCACCTGTCCCTCAGTCCCCTTCTGAGCAGGCCAGGCTGGAGTAAGTACAGAGGCCAGCCTGCCAGGCCTGCCACGTGCTCAGGGCTTCAGCATTGCTTCCCCCAGCGGGGGTTCCATGTGCCTCATGCAGCCAGAGCTGGGGGACTCTCAGGCCCATCCTCTCCCATACATAGCCCTCCTCTGTTACCTAAGGACCAAGCACTGGAAAGCAGTTCACTGGGGTCATAGTGGTCGAATAGTGGCACCTTAACAAGCTTCAACAAGAAATGAAGACACGGACTCCCAACCTGGAACCCATTCTTCCATGTCCTCAGCCCAGGAATAGGGAAGGGGGCTAGGATCTAGGGTGCTGTGTGGTATAGGGGTGGAGGAGCAACCTAAGGCTGAGAGAAGAAGGGCAGGGACTGAGGGCCAACAAAGGCTGGAGAGGCTGAAAAATAAACACTGGATCACATTCATTATCCCAACATAACTGAATGCCTGTTGTGGTAGCTCAGTCAGTAAAGCATGAGACTCATGAGCTGAATGCTTGTTATTTACCAAGCCCTTTTCTAAACATGGGTCATAGCTCTCAGAAGCTACCAGACATGGGACAGCCTGTTGTGTGCATTGGGACAGCTATCCCCTTCCCCTGCTCTAAGGGTCTAGAATCAAGACAGTGAATGTGAATAGCAGCAAAGGTGCAAGTTAGCTATTATGTAGAACTTCTCCCCGTATGTTGACCTGGGAATGCTGGGTTGGCAGTGACCCTCCCCCACTGTGGAGGACTGAACAGGGGCTGGGCTTGGGGGGGGACAGGCCCTGGGTCTGCTCAGCGCATGGACTGTTCTGTGTGTGTATGTATGTGCCTGCAATTTGGGGTAGTGCCCAGGGGTCCAGCAAGGCATGTACACCACCCTGAGCTGAGGTGTGTCAGACACCCTCACTGACAAGTGCTTCCCCTCAGAGCCCGGTTCCTGGAGAATGTGGCAGCAGCAGAAACAGAGAAGCAGGCTGCATTGGCCCAGGGCCGAGCAGAGACATTGGCTGGGGCCATATCTGATGAGGCTGATGGACACCCAGGTGAGTAGGTGGGTGGGCAGAATCCACTCATGCTGCCCTTTTGCTCCAGAGGGCGTGACACTGACAGCTACTTCTCTTCTCTAGATACCCGGGAATTATGGGGCTCCCCAGAACCAGGCTCTGCACCCAGAACACCTCGGAGTCCTGCCCCCCAAAGTCTGCTCCGAACCCAGCAAAGCCTTGAGCCAGAGCCCAAGGAGCCACTGGCTCCACCAAGCCCCAAGGCTGAGCCCATTCAGGAATTCCCTATCCGTGTACCTAAGCTCTGCATTGGAGACCTGGACTTCTCAGATTTGGGGGAGGATGAAGACGAGGACATGCTGAACGTGGAGGCTGTAGAGGCTGGGAAAGGGATCCCACCCCCACCACCCCCACTGCCTACACTCTCTGGAGGTGCCCCACCTCCTCCACCCCCACCTCCCCCACCCATCAAAGGCTCACTCCCCCCACCTCCACCTCTGGCCACTCCCCTTCCTCCCTCAGCACCTGATGGCCTAGCCCTCCCCACCAAGAGGAAGACAGTAAAACTCTTCTGGCGGGAGCTAAAGCTGGCTGGGGGTCATGGAGGCTCTGGGAGCCGCTTTGGGCCCTGCCCCACCCTGTGGGCCTCACTAGAACCTGTCTCTGTGGACACAGCCCGGCTGGAACACCTGTTTGAGTCCCGTGCCAAGGACGTGCTGCCTTCCAAGGTAAACCCACCCTCATCTGCAAGGTAACCCCAGCATAAAGAGGAAGGAATCAGAACTTAAAGGTCTGAACTGCCAGGGACAGCCACTCATTTCCCACATGGGGAAACCAAGGCAAAGAAAGGCATCGAGTCTTATCTGAGGTTTCTCAACAAGGAATCAGCAGAGCTCTAGCCCTAACTAGAATCTAAGCTTATTCCAAGGCCTTACATATCCCACATCCCTGGTTGTGGGGTGACCCCACTATCTGGCTGTTTAGCAGGGCTTTAGAGTGTCCTTGTAGACTGTTGCCCCACCTAGTCCCTTTTCCAATCTTACACTGCCCTTCTCCCAACTTTAAAGAAAGCTGGTGAGGGCCGCCGGACAATGACCACAGTGCTGGACCCCAAGCGCAGCAACGCTATCAACATTGGCCTAACCACCTTGCCACCTGTGCATGTCATTAAGGCTGCTCTGCTCAACTTTGATGAGTTTGCTGTCAGCAAGGATGGCATTGAGGTAGGGATACCAGCTAAAGGTGTAACAGGGAGGCGGGAGGTCTGGCCCTCGTTTGGTCAGTGGTCTCATTTTCTGTCCCTCCAGTGGTGGGCATGGGCTTAGCATTTCTACAGAGCAGTTCCCCAGACCCTGGGGATCCCCCAGATGACCTAGGGATGAGTCAAGACCAACATCTAAGGCCTCGGGCCGGCACTGAGGGGACTTCATGTAGGATGGTGGTTGCATCCTCAGAAACTACTGACTATGATGCCCACGGAGGAGGAGCGGCAGAAGATCGAGGAGGCCCAGCTGGCCAATCCTGACATACCCCTGGGCCCAGCTGAGAATTTCCTGATGACCCTTGCCTCCATTGGGGGCCTGGCTGCGCGTCTACAACTCTGGGCCTTCAAGCTGGACTATGACAGCATGGAGCGGGTACTTAGTTCATGGCGTGTGGCAGGAAGTGGGGCAGGTGAGCACAAGGACCAGGTAGTTTGAGAGTCCCTTGTCTCCCACTCCAGGAAATCGCAGAGCCACTATTTGATCTGAAAGTGGGCATGGAACAGCTGGTACAAAATGCCACCTTCCGCTGTATCCTGGCCACCCTATTGGCTGTGGGCAACTTCCTCAATGGTTCCCAGGTTAGTGCAAGTGCACGAGGGCTGGGGGCCAGGGCTCTGGAGCCCACCAGGCCCAGGCTCAGATGGGGTCCTTTCAGAGCAACGGCTTTGAGCTGAGCTACCTGGAGAAGGTGTCAGAGGTGAAGGACACAGTGCGCCGACAGTCACTGCTGCACCATCTTTGTTCCTTGGTTCTCCAGATCCGGCCCGACTCCTCTGACCTCTACTCAGAAATACCCGCTCTGACTCGCTGTGCCAAGGTTAGCACCAGCCAGAGGCTTGACTAAGACCAGTCACGGCAAGAGGGAGTGCTGCTCTCTGGGGCTGGCTTTTCCTCTGTTTGGGCTGCTGTGCCAGAGTGTGCTTAACTACAGGTGTTTGTGTGGGCTGTATCCTCTGCCAGAAACATTCTTCCTTCTATTGGCCTGGCTACATCTACTGTCTTTGGGTCTCCATGTAGCCACCACTTCCCTCAAGAGAGCGTTTCCACTCCCCATTAGATCAAGTAGACTTGTCTCTTTCCTGGATTAGACTGGTGAGCTTTTGGAGGACAGGTGGTGGATCTTGGCTCTCTACTTCTCTAGGGTCCAGACTGGCTGACCTGACAGAGGCAGCCTCAGGTGGTGCAGGTCTGTGGGGGGACAGCATGCATACCCCTTGCCTTTCCAGGTGGACTTTGAACAGCTGACTGAGAACCTGGGGCAGTTGGAGCGTCGGAGCCGGGCAGCTGAGGAGAGTCTACGGAACTTGGCCAAACATGAGCTGGCCCCAGCCCTGCGTGCCCGCCTCACCCACTTCTTGGCCCAATGTGGCCGCCGTGTTGCCATGCTGCGGGTAGTGCACCGCCGTGTCTGCAACAGGTGGGGACGTGGGCAGATGGCAGGGCTGCTACCACCATCCCTCCAACCCTAAGCAGGACTTACCATCCCTCCCCACCCCAACCTGCCTAGGTTCCATGCTTTCCTGTTGTACCTGGGGTACACAACCCAGGCAGCCCGCGAAGTGCGCATCATGCAGTTCTGCCACACGCTGCGTGAGTTCGCACTGGAGTATCGAACTTGCCGGGAACGGGTGCTACAGCAGCAGCAAAAGCGGGCCACGTACCGTGAGCGCAACAAGACACGGGGCCGCATGATTACTGAGGTGGGTACCTTTTCCAGGTTTGGACTGCCACCCCCATGGTTTCCTTCCCCTGCTCCCAGATCACCCTTCTCCCCTCTGCAGACAGAAAAGTTCTCAGGTGTGGCTGGGGAAGTCCCCAGCAACCCATCTGTCCCAGTGGCCGTGGGCAGTGGGCCAGGGCGGGGTGATGCTGACAGTCATGCCAGCATGAAGAGTCTGCTGACCAGCAAGCCGGAAGACACCACACATGGCCGCCGCAGCAGAGGTGGGACCTGTGGCCACTGGGGACAATGGGCTTTGGGGTCACCCTATCCTGACTTCTCTATCTGTCTTCCCTCAGGCATGGTCCAGAGCACCTCCCCAGTCATGCCTACAGCAGTAGGGCCCTCCACTGCACCCCCAGAAGAAACCCCAGGCTCCAGTTTACCCAGTGATACTTCAGATGAGATCATGGACCTGCTGGTACAGTCAGTGACCAAGAGCAGTCCTCGTGCCTTAGCTGCTCGGGAACGCAAGCGGTCCCGTGGCAACCGCAAGTCTTGTGAGTACTCCCCAAACGCCCACTACCCTCCTTAACCCCACCAATCCCTTCTAACCCTGCTCTGTCCCTGCAGTGAGACGAACGTTGAAGAGCGGGCTCGGAGAGGACCTGGTGCAGGCACTGGGACTGAGCAAGGGTCCTGGCCTGGAGGTGTGAAGACACTGCATCTAGGACATGGATAGGCCCCAGCCTGCATGGCAAGAGGCTAGAGACTGAGGAGGAATCAGAGCAGAATTCTAGGCCTTTTCTCAACCCCAGGGCCACTGTGTGCCCAGTGGACAGTGCGTTGAGCAGTATTAAATGTGTGTGCCTTTGTGCAATTGTGTGTTTGTGTGTGTATATGTACTTGTATGAGCTCCCTGAAAACATGGAGTATAATAAAGTTTTCCTAGCCAATCCAAGACTCTCTTCCTTCTTTGAAGGTATCCACCACACTCAGTCTGTAGCAGGGGGCTAATACAAAAGGACTGGCTCTTCCCACGTCATCCTCGTTATCACCCACACAGCCATTAGCCACATTCTTAGCCATTTATTCAACAATCTTATACCTTAGACTGCTTTTGGGCCCTGGACTAGGCCCTCCTTGCTCCTGGCATGGGGGCTGTGCAGGCCGTGGCCACAATGTCAATGGCTATAACCGCTTCATCTGCCGCCGCTCCTGTCGGCGCTGTCGTTTCTCATTGTGCTCTGGTGCTGGGGTGCCACTGTCTGCTGTGAACCAAGGGCCCAGCACATTCACCCATAGGAGGTAAAGGGCCCGGCCTGGAGCCTAGGACAGAAAAGGTAACTTGAAGCCAGATGCAGGAAATGAAAGAACAGAAAGTTTAGATGCCCCAGCCTCTTCTTGGGAGCCCTATAACCCACGTACCAGAAGCCAGAAGGACCAGATGTAGAGGGAGAAGCAGCTGAGCACTTGCACAATGGCTGTCAGTAGAATCACATCCTTAAGGTGCCTGTGAATAGAAAGGAGGCTGCAAGGCCAAAAGTAGTAGATGGGCCCCAGTTCATCTCCCTTCTACCCTTTTCAAGTTGCGGGCAATTGTGGGTCTTAGGCTATTTGGGCCCCAAAACCCCAGCCCTGGGGCCGCTCACCTGGGCTGGCAGCGGGGGACACTCACTCTGCCATGCCCTGCTCCATGTTGAGATCCATTCCACCATCCATCAGTGCCCCATCCTCAGAAAAGGCTGCCCGTGCCATTGAGCTCATAGAGTGGTAGCTGGCCCCATATACTGCCAGACTAAAGCCCAGGGCCATCTGCAGAATAAGAATGGTATCAAAGGCCAGCCACTAACCCTATACACTCACCCAATCCCCAGGATAGGAGGCACTTACCCAGGCCCAAAATGAGGCAGATGAGTAGAAGAACACCAAGGTCACAAGACAGTAAATGGCCTGTAAGCAGATACATGGTAGGCTAGGATCAAAAGCTACCCTAAACCACGGGTCTCTCTCAACTCTGACCAAGAGTTAGGCCAGGCTGTGGAAAGAGACAAGTTGTTTCTCATAGGATTGTGGGGGGAAAGGGTCTGAGCCCCATGTGTGAGTACCCAGGCTCCCCTCTGACATGTCAACCCAGCACAGGAAAGAAGGCCCCGTGTATCTGGGATCCGAAGAATGGGCTCAAAATCATCTGAGACTCAAACCCTCATTTTGTTTTTTTGGTTTTGTTTTGTTTTGACTGCTCAGCAGTTTATTTGTGCCAGGATCTGTTCTCATTTCTTTAACTGTAGTTTTGTTCTGGAAAACTACACATGGCTGTCTGTCACATACCACCCCCTCACTCTCACACACGAACATACACACGCACACACACACACACACACACACACAGAAATGAGGACTTTGGGACCTTGGGTGGGCACAGAAACAAGGAGGAAGGCACTTACATTGGCCCCCAGTATGATCCGCAAATAGAACTTCAGAGTCTCTCTGTTCTCTTCAAATATCTGCTTCTTCCCTCTGGTGCCCACTTTGCCCTTGGGCTGAAGAGGGATGGTAAGATGCTGTCAGAGCCCTCCTCAGCCAGGGCGCTCCTCACCCTCCCCACTACTCTGATTGGCTAACAGAATTACTCCTGCACCTAACCCAGGTCCCCATGGTGCTCAATCTAGCACAATCCTTGGGATGTCCACCTCCCCCATTCCATCCTGCTTAGGGCTGACACCATCTGTGCTACACCCCTTAGCTACGATCACCTCTGCTCACCCCGGAACAATCCAACACTAGACTGGTATCTCCTGGTTCCCCTGGTAAGGTCTAGCTTTGGACTGACAAGCCCTTCAAGGGGGACTCCAGAGTGGCGCTGAATGGTGCGCCCCTACGGCCTTTGCTGGAGTAGTCTAGTTCTCGGCTGACGCCGACCACCAGACCAGGTCTGGTACAGCCTGGTAGTCACTCTCAATCCCCTCCCGCACCACTTCTACGCTCCTGAGTGGCTCCATTCCTCCCGCTAGCTCTAGTACAGTCGGCCACCTCACGGCGCCCCCCTCTGGCTGACCCGCTTCCTTTGATGTTCTTCCTCTGTTTTCAGTCTCCCGGCCCCGGGAATGTTCGGCCATTGCGAACCCCGCCCTACCCGCCCTCCTTACCGCCATGGCGCGACGCAAACACCCAGAGAGGAAAACAAGGAAGAGCGACCGAAACCGCGGTCGAAAGGTACCACATCGGCAGCACAGGCACTTCCGGTGCAGACCCAAATCGTCACAACTGTGACGGAAGTGGGGGGGTCCACTTCCTTCCCAAGGCCCTCCTCTCCCCGAAAGTCAATAAGACTACATTTCCCAGAAAGCCTTGCACGGGGGCGGTGGCGGCTGGAATGCGATGGCGGAGTCGCTGCCCCTGGAGGTGAGAGGAGGCCACCCTCAGGCCTAGCTTGGGACAAGCTCCGCCCCCGGGGTCCCGGGCTGTGGGGAGGGGCTGTCAGACAGCTCGCCTGCCTCCGCCCGCCTGGCGGAAACTACCCGCCTGAGAGATCCCAGGATCTCCTGGCCATGGGTAACGGTCCCGTCTTTGGGCCACCCTATCCCCTTAGCTTGGGGGAGCCATTCTCTCCACCTTCATCGGCCTTGTCACCTCAACGAGGACAGGGTCTCAGCCTACCTACCTCTCTAGCGATGGCCGCCCCTCCCCCCTCAGTTCTGGAAGATGACCGTTCCATACCATCGTCCCCAAAGGGTAATCGACCGTATCTTCGTTGGCCTCTTTGGGATGATCACTTCATTCCCTTTGCCCCTCCCCCTGGCGGTGGAAAACAGACTGCCCCCTTCCATCAATACCAGGCACAATCGCTGAATTACTTCACCGAGGACAGGCCTGCTCCCCACGCCCTTGGCCCCTAGTGATGGCCGCCCCTACCTCCTTCACCCCGTGGGAAGTTTGCGTCTTTTCCTTAATCTGGAGCAAGACAACTCTGCCTCCATTGGTCGGAGACAGAGAACAGATTTTGTTCCCAGTGGCCTCTTGGGATGGTCTTTCCAGCCCTTTTGCCTTGAGAGTTGGTGCAGCCCTCTCCCGCTGCCCATGGGAAGCAAATCACAATTTCCTCATTGGCCCTGGAATGGTGCTCTTTCCCCTTAACAAGAATAGGACAGCTCCCAATTGGTTGAGTCCTCTTCCATGGCATCCTTTATCTCCTGAGCTCCAGAGGATGTTTACTCCATCCCCATAGATACTAGGAATGACCAGTTTTATCTCCAGTAGCCCCTTAGTGTGGGGTTCATGGGATGGCCACTTCATCCTTATCACTGCTTCCTTTTCCCTCTAGAAAAGTTACCCCTTTCTCAGTTCAAAGAATCATGCTCCCTCCCCTCAGTGAGGACAGGTGTATTGCCCTCTCCCTTTGCTTTTTGGGTTGGTTGCTGATCCCCATAAGACAGGATTGCCACTGTTTTAACTTGGCTCAGATAGGCTTCCCTGCCTTCCCCTGGGGTTGGGGGCTTAGTCAGTCCCAATCCCATCAGTGTTCTCTTCCCCATGCTTAGCCTTCCTGCCCTAGAAGGCCGTTCTCCCCAGTCCCCAGTCCTCTCAGATAAAGTGATCTGCTTTATCTCCCCATCCTTTCCCTGAGCAAAGCTTTGGTGAAAATAGAAGTAGAGGGCTTTGGTGAAAATAAAGATATTTTCATCTTTAGTTCAATCCAGTAAGTATTGACTGAGTACCTTCTGGTGCTAGGAATCAGAGAAAGGAAGAAGAGATTAGAATGCTCTGGTGAGGTCAAGGTTAAGGAAGGGCATTCCAGGAAAGAGACACACATAGGCAAAAGGTAATAGACATGTTATGTTTGTATGACGGTGGGGAGAATGAACTGGGGAAGCTCTGGGATCAGGGGTCTGGTCAGGCATAGGGCCTGGCAGTACTGACCCAAAAGTGGAAATTTTGTCCTGAGGGTACTGGGGCACCCTAAAGGTTTTCATCAGGAATATCCTAAGACTGAACGGTGTTTTGTTTTTGTTTGTTTTGTTTGTTTTTAAAGAAAGGTAGCCTTGTCACAGTATGCAGAATGACTAGCAAGGATGAGCCTGGAGGCAGGTGGGAGATTGTAGAAGGACCCCAATTCTGGGGTAATGAAGATCTGGGCTACTGAGGTGCTAAAGTTTCAATGATAGAGGGGCGCCTGGGTGGCTTAGTCGGTTAAGCGTCCTACTTTCTCTTAGGTCATGATCTCGCGGTTCGTGGGTTCGAGCCCCGCATCGGGCTCTGTGCTGACTGCCAGCTCAGAGCCTGGAGCCTGTTTCAGAGTCTGTGACTCCCTCTCTCTCTGACCCTCCCCTGCTCACGCTGTCTCTCTCTCTCTGTCTCTCTCTCCTAGAAATGAATAAAACATTTTAAAAATTTAAAAAAAATAAAGTTTCAGTGATAGAAATATTAGTAACAGCAATCCAGCAACCATTTATGGAACACCTACTAGGTGTCAAGAACACATCTATTAAATACACACACACACACACACACACACACACCTATATATAGTATGGAAACTGAATCTAAGAGAGGTCAGTTACCTTGCCTGAGATCACGTAAGTCACAGAGCCTGAAAGTAGTAGAGTGGGGATTTGAATGAGTCTAAGTTAGCTTGGCCTAAAACCTGTGCTGAACACTTGTATCTGGTAGCAAGGGACAGAAGAGCATGAAGAGTATCAGGATCTTCAGGTAAGATGCACTGTTGGTATTGAAGTTCAGATACTGGAAAGTTGGGAAGAGAGGATGCTTTAGACAGAATATGAATTTTGGTTGAGATGAAGGTAATAGTAAAACATTTAGACGAAGGATCCTGCGGACAATTGGCAACACTGGACCAGCACATGAATGATGAGACAATTCAACAATTGAATTGTTGGTTATTCCTGTAGAGGTAACTGTTGGAGCCATGCAAATGAATTTATTATCCTCAAAAGTAAACAAATTGAAAGACTCAGGTCTGAACCCTGGGTGCCACAGGAGAATCCAGAAACAGGGCAACTGGAGTGATGAGTGGAACCCTGGAAAACAGTGTCACAATAGTCCAGGAGAGAGGATTCCAGAAGAAAAGAATAGTTAATATTAGATCATTCCTGGCCTCACAGGCGCCTCCTTTCCCAGTCCCTTGTAGGGCCTCCAACCTCATGACTCCAGCCTCACAGAGCATAGGTGGACTGGCAGCCTAAGTACCTGGGCTGTTTCATAGCTTAATAGGCAGCTGAGAAGGCGAGTTGGCAGTGGAGAAGACTGGGAAAGAGGGAAGACCCAGAGACTGACCTATGATGGCAGGAGGTGTGGCTTCCGAAGATCAAAGGAGGAGACCTGACTTGCTATGTCTGAAGTCCTACACCAGACCTTTTACTATGTTACTTAATGCTCACCATAACCCATTTAGATCTCACTACATTTGCCATTTTACAGATTAGAAAAATAAGATTCAGAGAGGTCAGGTGATAGAGTAAGGATTTGAACTAGATTTATCTAGTCCCAATGCCCAGGCTGTTTTTACCAAACTGAGTGGGAAGTTTGGTTTTTATCAATCAGTACAAACCTGCATCCGGGCGGGGCTCACTCGGAATGGTTTGTTCACAAGAAAGATCATTGGAGTCTGGAGAGGGGAAGTGAAGACCCCATGAAGCTTAGGATTCAAGATAAACTAGAAGCCAGGGTTCCAGTCCCCTCAGACCTACTATTCTACCAGATGGAGAAGGTTCAAAAGGCTCCCAGCTCTAACAGTTCCCAATGTCCTGTCTTTTTCCCTCAGATGCTCACATATATTCTGAGCTTCCTGCCTCTGTCAGATCAGAAAGAGGCCTCCCTCGTGAATCGGGCTTGGTACTGTGCAGCCCAGAATGCACTTCGGGAGGTAAGGTGGCTACCCTCATCTGGCCCATTCTCAGTTGTCTCTCACTTCAGAACTGCTTGTGGCCCTGCTCATACATCATCCATCCATCCATCCATCCATCCATCCATCCATCCATCCATGCACACATGTTCATACATATGTTACACTCATACATACTTGGCTCTGGGTACAGTACTGAGACTTTACAGATGAATAAGACATAGACCCCTGCCCAGAGGAGCTCACAGTCCAGTGAAGGAGAAAGACAAGTACGTGAGTGATGGTGATGTTGTGTGCTTGGTGCTATGACACTGAAATGAAGGGAAGAACAGGAAGAAGGGCATCTAAAGGAGAGCAGCAGCATCAGGGAAGGCTTCCTCATGGAATAGGATAAGGGTGAAGGTTGGTCTTCCAGGACTGGTAACAGCACAGGTGAAGGCACCAAGGTGTGAAATAGTTCTGAAAATGACCACACAAGTTCCATATGACTAGAACTTAGAAGTGGTGGGAGATGAAGCTAACGAGAGGTCAGACTGCAAGCTGGCACTATTGCTGGTGTTCCATCCTGATTACCATCACGGAGCCTTTAAGGCAGGGGAGTGACGTGGTCTGATGTGCAGTGCAGAGTGGGCTGGAGAGGGTGAATCAGTTGTAGGGAGACAGCCTAGCTCAGAAGTGCGAGCAGACATCTGTAACAGTTTGAAGCAGTGATAGCTCCTTGTTTGTTTTAATTTTGATTGCTGAGGTTGAACAGCCTCCTCATTAGCTGACCATTTCTCTTTTCTTCTCATGTTTATTCGTGTTCTTTATCCATTTAATCATTGGCATCTTAATAGTTTTCTTATCCATTTGTATGAACCTTTTATATATTAAAGAGATTAATCTTTTACGTATTCATTGAAATATATTCCTAATATATTTGCCTTTGAATATGATTTGTAGATATGTGCTTATTTATGAGATACAGAGGTTAACTTTCTATGTTGTGGATCCTGAACATCTTTTGTTTTCTTATTTTTGCCATTGCTTTTTAAACTTGGAGACCCCTTGCCTCCTCAGTGATTTGATATACACTCATATTTCTCTCTCTCTCTTTTTTAATTAGGCTCTATTTTTTAGAGAGATTTTAGGTTCACAACACAATCTTTTCTTCTGTTTTATGGTTTGAAATTTTATAGTAATTTTTTAATTGGTGAAATTTATTTTGATTTATTCTCTGAGGTAAGAAGCTAAACTGAGTAGTTTTCAAATAGCCCTAATACCATTTATATATAATCTTCCCCTTCCCTGCTGGCTTGGACCCTTCCTCTGTCACACATTAAATGTGTGTATACACGTAGGGTCTGCTGTCATGTTATCTATCCTGTATCATGAGCTTAGTTAGTGTGTAAAGATATTTGATTGGACTTGTTGAAAATTTGAAGTATGAGACATCTATATGGTGAGATGCAGTTGGTTATTGAATTTCTGAGTGAGGAATTCAAGAAGGATCTCGGTAATAAATAAATAATAATAAAGAAGGGTCTCGGTAATAAATATCATTACAGAATGGGTGGAGGTTGAAAGCATGGATTTAAGTAACTTGCCCCAGGGATCACATGAAGATCCAGAGGAAGAGCAGGCCACAGTATGCCCAGGGGGAGTACACCAGTCTACGGGCATGGGAAGGAGAAGGCAACAGTGAGACACAGAGAAGAGTCCAGTGAGAAGAGGGGGCAAAAGTCAAAAGTGGAGAGCATTTACAGTGTGGAGTGGAGGAAGAGTCCAGAAAATAAAGAACAGATAGTATCTGTGATGTATGATGTCCAGGGAGGTCCCCAGTGACTTCAGCAACATTTGGCATCTGGGGGGAAAGCCAGGTCTGTGGAGGAATGAATAAGATAAGAAGGGCAGTATAGACAGTTGAGCTCCTTTGCAAGAAATTTCCCCAAGAAAGGAAGGAAATAAATGGGGCAATAATGAGAGGCTGAGAGGACTTGATGAAAGCATTTTCATTAGGAGAAATCTCAAATGTGTTCATATGCTGAAGAGAATCCTAGAGGAGGGGCGAATGTGAATGTATGAAGAAGAGAGGTGAGAAATGGCAGATGCCACCTGAGGTGATACGAGGCCTGGTCTTGGATAAGGTGGGAGGATGTCACCCCTCCTGCTCAGGAAGTGGCAGTATGGAGCAGTTTGCTGAAGAAGTTTCTCTGAAGCTAGTGGCCTCTTTGCTGAGTGAATCTGGGGGCCACATTGTCATAGGGAAGTAAAAAGAGAGGTAGAGGCAGGGACCTCAGCAGGGCAGAAGGAAGTGGGAGAGTTGCCAGAGCTGCTCAGAGAGTGGCTCACTCACTCAGTGAGTAGGGGTGCTGCACTTGGAGTCTTGTAAGGCACACGGGGGATCAGAGAAGATTCAGAAAAGATTTAATGGAGAAAGGGGTGCCTGGGCTGAAACTAGAGAGAGGAATAAATATTTGCTAAATAGACAAACAGGAGTAGGTGAGAGGTAAGACAACCCTCATACCCATCACTATAACCAACAGAAAAAGCAGCCAAGCGGAGGCATGGCACCATGAGACAACAATAAGAAGTTGCCATTCCCAGAGCCAGGGCTGAGGAGGAAGAGGGGGCGGGTGTGGGAAAGCTGGGCCTGAAGAGGTAGGCAGGGCTCCAGTGCTGGCTAAGAAACTCAGCCTCCGTCGCATGGAGTGAAGAACCATCAAGGGATCTGAAGAGCATAGTCAGTTTGCCTTTTATAAAGATCACCTGGTGACAGTACCAAGGCTAGAATGGAGCCAGAAAGATTGAGGGCCAGGACCCTCAAAACGGGGCAACTGCTGTAATGTATTTCTCAGAGACAATACAGGAACCTGAACTAGAGCACAAGCAATGAGGCAGGAGCAGAGGGACATGCTGCAGTGTATCAGAGAAATGAGATGGAAAGGACTTTGGTCACCATGAATGTGGAGAGTGAGGGAAGGATCTAGAATGGCTCCCAGATCTCTGACTTGGGTGACTTGGTAGAGGGCACTGAGAATTAAGGAAAAGGGGCATCACTGGGGGATAAGACAGTGACTTCAGAGGCGGTCATGCTGCACCCATGTATCTGGCAAATTCCATCAGGTAACTAATTCCCAGGGTCCGCAGCTACAGTCGTTGGCCTGGGATGAAGTGCAGTCTGCCAGGGTGCAGGGGGAGGAGAGCAGAGAGTGTGCATGTGTGTGTGTGTGTGGTGGGGTGGAACATACCATGAGGAACTCACTCTCTCTCTTCTTTGATGACCCCAAAAGAGGCTGATGGGGGACAGGCTAGAAGGTAGGAGGAGAGCCAGGCAGGCAGAGCCACAGAGCCCCCAGTGGGAGACAGCATGGAGGAAACTGGTCATCCACAACCGGTGACAGGGCAGAAAGGACACTCGTAGGAGGTGTGCAGAGGAGGCCCCCGGGTGTTGATAATTTGCTGGACGGGTCAGTGGGTGAGGCAAGGGGTAGAAAGGTAGCTAGCTCAGGTATAGGTATGCCCACAGGCTTCCAGGAGGTCTGACTGCAGAGGAAAGGGGAGAAGCAGGAGTGATGAGGAGAGGGAGGCAGGATCAAGGGAGGCCTTTTGTTGTGACTCTGGGGTATTTGTAAACTGAGGAAGAAGCAGTGGACTGCGAGTTCCCATGGGAGAAGGTGGGTCAGGCCCAGTAGGCCCAGAGAAGGGGATTAGGAGTGAGAGAGGGAAGGGTGTCAGGATGGGTCTTGATGGCTGGTGGATATGAACAGGGAAAAAAGCGAGGGCCTTCCCACTTGATGGCTTTGGCTTCTCTCTGAAACAGAAGAGGTCATCTGTGAGAAGGCGAAAGCGAGTGGAGGCTGCTGCACTTGTGTCAGGGGCTGGAGAGAATGGTGGGCATGGAGAGAAACCTTGAGAGGGATGAGAAGAGAGCCAGAAGGTGGGGAGGAGGTAGCAGTGGGGGAGGCAAGAGGGGAGACTGTGGCTTCCAGAGGTGGAATTCTGTACTCCCAGCATAGACCCAGAGGAGGCAGAGGTCTCATCATCGCTGGCAGGGTCGGGGGCAAGAAGAAAGGGCACAGCAACATGGCAGGCAGGGCCACAGGACCCCAAGGAGAAGCAGTCAGGGCAGAGGTTCTTTGAGTCCAGCAAATAAGGAAAGGGCAGGAGAAGCAAAGTGGGCAGTCAGGAAGGAATAGATTAGAATAGGATAGGGGCGCCTGGGTGGCTCAGTCAGTTGGGCATCCAACTTCGGCTCAGGTAATGATCTCACGGTTCATGGGTTCAGGCCCCGTGTCGGGCTCTGTGCTGGCAGCTAGCTTGGAGCCTGGAAACTGCTTCGGATTCTGTGTCTCCCTCTCTCTCTGACCCTCCCCTGCTCATGCTGTTTCTCTCTCTCAGAAATAAATAAAAACGTTAAAAAAATAAAAAGATTAGAGTAGGATAAGGGAGTGAGGAGAAGGAGGCCAGGGGCAGAGTTTAAGATCATAGCACCGGGGCTCCTCCAGCTAACTGTGAGGCCCAGATGGGATGCTGACCAAGAGCTATTTAGTGGCTCTGTAAAACTCAGCCCCACCCAGGCTGGGAGCACTGGATGGCCAGGCCACAAGTACATGGCATCTAGGGTTCTGTTGACATCCTACCACAACCACGTCCCAGAGAGCAATTTGCAGAATTTATCGTCAGGACTCATCTCTGAGGGCTCAGATGTGGGCAGGTTGATAAGGAAGCAGTGCCCCTTGCTAGTAGGTGCTCCCAAAGATACTGGTTCACCAAGGCATGGCTGGATTTTATGCCTCACCAGGCCAGGCAAGGATGCTGGATTGGTGACTTCTTATTCTCCCAGATGTACCCCCACTTAATCCTAATTTTTCTCAAAAAAGAAGGTAGACAAAGGCAATGCCCCCTGCCCACCCCCACATCAGATCTGCCCATTCCAGGGAGAGCCTGGTTGCCTGCCACTGGGTTGGTCTCTATGAAGAACTCAGGACAGCTCAGCATCTGCCCTCCACTGCCTTCTCTTGCCTGGGGTGTTTATAATGGCCCCAGGGAGCCTCTGGAAATGACCCCCGATGTCTAACTCCTCTCTATAGATCAAAGCCCCTGGGTGCCAGGGCATACACTTTCTTCTCGAGAACAGGCATGTTGTTTTGGATTCCTATGCCAGCAGATGGGAGAGCCATTTCTCTATCAGACGACTTTCCAATCCTGCACACAAGCCTGCAGTCTCAGCTCAGGGCTTCACTAGGTATAATGAAGTCCTGGCCTCTCACAGTCAAGGGATATATGCCCCTTTTAGCAGATGTAGGGCATTTTCCAAATGACAGCATTTCCTCTTAAGATGTCTGCATTGCAAAAGGAGGAGATAGGGGGTTAGTTGGCTCCTTATGGATGGGGCAGCTGAAGCTAGAGCAGATACCCTTGCAGTCCTCCTTTGGACCTCAGGAAGCATCTTCCTAGGGCCTAGGAAGGGGCTAAAGACCAGAATCCAGGAGCCTGCTTCTTCTGCCTGCTGCTCTGCATCCCACAGATGGTAAATATCACTAAAAGGCTGCTTCTGGGCACCTGCACTTTGAGTCCAGGGCAGACCACCTGGGTGATGGCTTACAGGCTGCCCCCTCTCCATCAAGAAAAACAGTGGGGAGCAAGGAGGCAGTCTTAAATCTCAACACACACACACACACACACACACACACGCACACACACGCACACACACACCTCCCAGTAGCTACTGGAAGCCTCTTACAACAGGCCCTGCCCCTTTATTTGATAGGTTTTACTGCCACTAGCTGACCCTGGACTTGGACTCTAGGCTGACCGCCATTGCTCCCCTTCAGCTGTTCATCTACCTGTTCATAAGGAGGCTGTGGGAGAGGGGAGGACATGAGAACATTCCTGGCTGCCAAGGCTCAGGAAGCAAGAGAAAGAAGGACTGCGGGTGCCTGGAGGTGGGACGGTGGGGGCACAGGATGTGATGGTGGGGGTGGCGCTGCCTGGCAACCAGCCCTGCTCTGCACTTGCAGTCACAGCATACTCTTCATTATCAGACTGGCTCCTTGCAGTCTGGACTTCCAAACGGCTAGAGGTCTGCTTTACCATTCCTTTCTAGAACCTTTTCTCCCTGATCTTTTCATCATTGCCCTGCATCATCTTCCCCACCCATTGGGATCTTCCCGCTCTCTTTAAATCTGAGAGAGGAGCCCAGGCCCTTGATGTTCCCACTATTCCACTGTCTCCCAGTGTCCACAAGAGGGACAATCCCTCTCATCCACAATCCCTACTTCCTGGAATGGGGTCTGGACAGGGAGCCCGGTTTGACCTCAGATTCCTGGGCAAGTAGTCAGGAGCTGGCTCCCATTTCTTCCCTTCCCTTCCTTTTAGGCTCCATGCCCAAAGTGGGGCTTGAACTCATGACCCTGAGATCCAGAGTCACATGCTCCACCAATTGAGCCAGCCAGGTACCCCAGGCCCCCATTTCTTACCATACACTCCTTCCCATGATGACAGCCATAGGTGTCTGCTTCTCTCTGTGACAGAAGCCAGCCTGGTTTCTACACCCAGGAATGAATTTCATGTGTCTTCCTGAGAAGAATCCTGTTAATAAGTATCTTACAGGAGTATATATTATATGTCATTTCTACCTTTATGGTTTTCTTTTGACAATGTTCTGTGGGGTAGACGTGGGGAACATCGTTTGTTCTTGCAGTAACTGACAGGACAGGTTTTTAGAGAGCTTGCTTTCCTGCATTGTGATCATGTTGATGCAGTAACGCAAGAGCTTTTGAATACTGCTTGCCTGCAACCTGGGCATCCATCAAGGGTAGAGATGTCTGCTACACCTTCCCCACACCTTTTCCCCAGGGACCTGTCCCAACTTCCCTTTGGCACAAAATTAGCGAAGGTGCTATGAAAACTGGGGCTCCCCAAATGCCTACACAGGCCAGCCTGTTCTCCCGACTTACCCTGAGCTCACCTCCAGGCCCCACCCCACACCAGCCATGGACTCTCCACTCTCCCTCCCTGTTCGTCCACAGCAGGGCCAGCCCAACTTTCTTGGCACCTTAAGATTCATTCTCTTAGTTTCCACCCACAGAAATGGGAGGGTTCTCTTTCCTTACCTAGACGAAGAAGATGGACACTCCTGAGACGAACCTCAAGGATCACAAGCACATCTTGAATTCTGGAGCCTGCAGGGCCCACACATGTTGGGGTGCACACACACATATGCACATGTGTATGCACACATTTTTGCTTACACACAAAACCCATTTTTGCAAACATTCATGTGGCTAAGATACTGAGGCCACCAGGGGACCTAGGCCTCACTGCCTGCCCTAGACCTCTGGCACCTGGGCCACCCAGGGTGGTGGTGAGTGACAACTGCTTTGCTTCTTACTGCCTTCAGCTGTTCTGAGGGCTATTTATATGCTCTTGAGAAAGCAAGGGAGGCTGGTTGCTTAGCTAATGCTGAGCTCTGACTCCCTGGAGTAGGAGCTTAGTCTGTGGGTCTCAGGGCTACCTTCTGAAAGGCCTGAAGTTTGGGATCTAGCATACTTAGTCCATCTGCCCCCTGGGGGCTTCACTGGCTCTCCTCTAGGCCACTCCCGGCCCCTTGTGCCCAGTATGCCAACTCCCCACTCTGTCCCTACCCCTCTATAGGCATCCAGTCCCATCTATCACTAATCTTCCTGCTCTCCCCTCAAGTCATCCCCTTTGAGCCCCAGAGTGACTTGTCTCCTTCAACCACACATGATACCGCACAGCACAGTGGTCCCCATTGTGATAGGGTCCTTCCCTTACCTGCCAGTGACTGGCCACCAGATCTGATGGCCAACTCTCCCTCAAGCCAGAGGGCTAACCCCAGTCCTATTGCTGCCCCTTAGACAAATGTGCAGTACAGCATCCCTGTGTCCTCTGCCTCCCTCCCGGCCATCAAGAGCCTGGGCCTCAGGGGCATCACCTGCATCAGCCTGACCAACCTGGATGACTCACCAGCTTCGCACCAAGTGCTGGAGTCCATTGCCTACCACTTGGGCCCGCACCTGCAGAGCTTGTGCCTCAGTGGGGGCAGCCCCTCGGAGGCTGCCTTCGTGGCCCTGATCCTGGGCTGCCCAGCCCTGCGTATCCTTGATCTCAGTGGCTGCAATAGCCTCTTCACATCGGGCATGCTACTAGCTCAGCCCGAGACAGCACAGCGGGTCCAGCTGGTGTTGAGTGGCCTCTGTGAGCTCAACTTGGCTGGCCTGCGGGACCTGACGGACCTCAGCTTCAACCGGCTCAGCAGCTGTGCCCCCAGCCTGGAGCGCCTCTCCTTGGCCTACTGTCACCTCACCTTTGAATTAGGCCCAGCCTGGGGCTCCTTTGCCCCCCGAGACTCCTCCCCTTCCCAACTCTCCTTCCACAACCTGCTACAGTTCGTGAAGGAGAGGGCTGGTAGGCTGCACGCCCTGGACCTGAGTGGCACTGGCTTGCTCCCTGAGGCACTGCAGGCCCTGGGTCAGGTGGCTGGGCTGCAGCTGCAAGAGCTGAGCCTGCACGGCTGCCAGGACCTCTCCACAGAGGCTGTGGCCGCCCTTTGCCGCCTACAATCAGGCCTGACCTCCCTGGACCTCAGTGGCTGCTCAGAAGTGGCCGATGGGGCACTCCTGGCCATAAGCCGGGGCCTGGAGCACCTGCAGCGCCTCAGCCTGAGGAAGCTGCAGCGGCTGACGGATGCAGGATGTACAGCCCTGGGAGGCCTGCGGGAGCTGCAGAGGCTGGACCTGGCAGAGTGCTGCCTGGTGAGTGGGCAGGGCCTGGCCCAGGCCCTGGATTCGGGGCACAGAGCTCCAGCCCCACTGGCCTCTCTCAGCCTGGCCTACTGCTCCTCACTCAAGGTGAGCACACCATCCCCTTCCTTCCTCTCCAGGGCTGGGGCTGGGGGAGCTGCACATGTGGCAGCAGGGAGGAACTGCCCAATGTTTATGTGCAAGGAACAGTAGTGAGAATAGAACTTAGGACACAAAGGAGCCTGGACAGACAGTGCTGCTGCCAGCACTCCCCCCATCAGTCCCCCATGGAGGGACATCCAGGACACCAGGCTGGTCCAGCCCACAAGGTGGCACGCACCTCATATACGAAGTGTTCAATGATCCCTGCAGTCTGGGTGGGGCATCAAGGGCAGGTGTTCTGGAGGCAGGAAAGATGAATGGGCACCAAGGTTACACAGGGAGGTTGCTGGGGCAGGGCCTGACAGAGGTAATATGATGTGGCACAGGGTCATTTCTTGGCTGCAGCCAGTTCCTTCAATAGGACTCAGCCCTGTCCCTCTGGGTGGCATCCCTAACTTGGCAATGTCAGTCTCTCTCTCTTTAGAGGATCATTTTTTTCAAACTGTCTATATGCCCAGGGCATTCCCAACTCAAAAACCATCTCCTCCTTTCCCCTACAAGTGCTTCTCTTGCCCCGCCCCACTCTGTCTTCCTGTTACCACCATGTGTCTCTTTATCTGCTCTCCCATGGGTCTCTGCATCTCTTTACAAACCAGCTTCCTCTATTCGGCCCTTAGCTCCTGTTCCTGGCAGGTGGCAGCCCAACCCCCACAGTGACCTCAGAGTTCTTCAAATTCTAGAGGGAACATACCCGATTGGTTCAGCTAGGGTCAGATGTCCAATGAGGGTCCAATAAGCTGTGGTCAGAGGGCTGCCTCCGCCCACACCTTCAGCAGGGGCTGGGAGTATAGCCAGAGCAGATACTTCAGAAACTTCCACCTGCATCCTTCCTGCCCCAGCCAATCTAGGCCTTTGTCCTCCAGCAAACTCCTCCTGGTGTCCCACCCCTACCTTTCACCAGCGCAGGGATTGTTTCTTCCCTCCATGGACCCACTGGTAGCTCCCTGTTGCCTGTGGGGTTGGAATCTTGAGCAGAACCTTCATGGGGACCCCTGCACAAGCCGCCTGTTCATTGTTCTCTCCCTTCTCCACTTCCCTCCTAGGATGCCTCAGTGCTCTCCCTGATCCCAGTGTTGAGCCCAAACCTCAGGGTGCTAGACTTATCTTCCTGTGTGGCCCTCACCAACAGGACCCTGCAGGCCATCTGTGCCTACTTAACCCACCTCTCAGTCCTGCGCCTGGCCTGGTGCAAGGAGCTCCGAGACTGGGGGCTTCTCGGACTGAGAGAACCAAGTGAAGAGCCTACACAGGAGCCCCAGGTGCAGGTCATGGAAGGCGGGAGCAGTCCCTGGGTTCAGCTACCCTCCTGCCCCTCCTGAGTGTCTCTCTTGGACCACCTGAGGACCAAACTCAGGAGGAACCTGAGAAGCAGGAGCTTCTTCCCACAGCTACATGGAGAGCTGGAGCATCAGGCCTTGGGCCCCAAGGACCCTTCTCCCCAGCCACAGGGCCCTTCCCTGCTCATGCTGCGGGCCTTGCAGGAGTTGGACCTCACAGCCTGCAGCAAGCTAACTGATGCCAGTTTGGCCAAGGTGTGGAACTGGGGCTGGAGGTGTGGACAGATTGAGGATCCTGGCACTAGAGCCAGGCCCAGGCCATCCCACTCTGCTTGTTAAAACTTCCATTGGCTTCTGTTACTTCTGGCTGGGGATGGGGGCGCCTGGAAGGGCCCTGAGCTCCAGTGCCCTATCATACCCTCCCACTAGTCACCTCTATCCTTGCAGGTGCTCCAGTTCCCTCAGCTGAGGCAACTGTCACTAAGCCTGTTGCCAGCACTCACAGACAAGGGCTTGGTGGCTGTGGCCAAGGGCTGCCCCAGCCTGGAGCGCTTGGTGCTGAGTCACTGCAGCCTCCTCAGCGATGAGGGCTGGGCCCAGGCAGCCAGCTCCTGGCCGAGGCTGCAGCACCTCAACCTATCCAGCTGCCCTCAGCTCACAGAGCAGTGAGTTGTCTGATGATGCCACAAGTCAGTACAGGAGGTGGGCTGGGTCCCCATGCCGGGTCAGGCACTCACTGGAGGCCTCCCCACAGGACTCTGGATACCATTGGGCAGGCATGCAAGCAGCTCCGGATGTTAGATGTGGCCATGTGTCCTGGTATCAGCATGACTGCCGTTAGGCACTTCCAAGCCCAACTGCCCCAGGTGACCTGCATCCAGTCCCGCTTCGTGGGAGGGGCTGACCTGACCTTGACGCTCTAGGGGCAGGTCAGTAACCAACCCTGTGGCTCAGCCTCTATTGCCCTGAGTCCCCAGCCCTGGCCTCTTGACCTAGAGTTTGACTCAGTGCCTCCTAACCTCCTCTGCCAAATACCCCAAAGCCCCTTCCCCAAGCTACAAACCCCTTTTCTAGGACTGGGGATAGAACTAATCCAGGGCAGCACAGGGGGCTTCCTGCCCCAGTCTGCCCTACAGCCCAGCAGGAGCCTCTTCCAGCTATCGGTTGCTGCCACAGGCCCATAGACATGCCAGCTCCTACTCTCCTGGCCAGGCCTGGATCTGGAGGCCAGGCCCACAGGTGGGATGCGTCTGGTGTTGGAGAGGAGCCGACCTGTGCTTCTTGTCCTGCCCACTTCTCACACCTAAGGCCCGTGCCTCCCCTTGTTCCCTATAAGGAGCTTTCCCAGCCCTTACCAGCACTGAGTTTTAGCCGCCAAGCCACAGACTTTGTTGTAAACCCAAACAAGATTAAAAATTCCAGATCTCACCTCCTTGTCTGAAATTCTCAGGCTACAGGGCCCCCTCCCTCCCTACCTCAGTTGAAACAGCCCAACCTAGCCAGGAACCACGTGGACAAAACACCAGAGGCACACAGACAGTTTCTTCTTTACACCTACCCAAAGCACCACAGGCACCCCCAGCAAGTCCTAACTTCTTCCCCAACATGGCCAGAGACTAGAAGCCTGGAGGCCTCTCCCAGCATGAGCCTCCAAGCATGGCCCGCAGCAAAGGCACATCCCAGACAGATCCGAGGAGCACAGTGATTAAGGATGCAATGAAGTTGTCTTCAGAAAGAAAAAAGAGGACAGTAAGTCTGGCTAGGGAAGGTCATTAGAGGCCATCTAGTCAAACCTCCTAAACAGCGCCAGTGACTTCTCAACAGCAGCTCTGAGAAGCCGCTTTGTCCTCCATGTGTCCACCCACACTTTGTCCATCTATCCATCAGTTCTAGGGCCAGCAAGCATGGCTGCCTGAGTGCCTGCAGGGACTGTACTTTGTGGGGATTCAGAGGTGCCAAAGCTTTCCCAGAGCCCTGGTCATTTGGGGAGGCAAATAAGCCAACAGACAGAGACAGTCCAGTGTGCAGAGTGTGCCTAAATAGAGAAACAAGCACCTGGAAGTGGGAACCCAGGAGAGCGACGAACATGCCCTGCAAGATCAAGGAAAGACTCAAGGCAGTGAAAGACGAGCAGAAGGGAAAGAAGAGGGCAATCAGGACCAGGGAAATGCACAGTGCAGGCCAGAGCTGGCACTGGGGAGGAAAGGGCGGATCCCACAGGGAGCAGGGAGGATGCCAGCTTGGATCAAGCACAGAGAACTCTGCAAGCCACAGGCCTTTTGTTAGATGGCATAAACCACAACGTGTCTGTAGCCCATCTTAGCTCAACTTTGCTCAGTTGAGAAACCATGACCACCATCCCATGGACAACAGGGAGGCAATGAAAAATACAGGTTGGGGGTAGTATGTGTGCGAGTGTGTAATCAGATCAGCTTCATGTTTGAGAAAGTACCTGGGGTATTGAGGACTGGAGGAGCAAGGCAGGAAGTCAGGAGATTCTTGCCAAGATGTTGGTGGCCTGGACAAGGGAATGGAGACATCAGAGAGGAAGAACTAATACTATTAGAAGACTTAACTGCATCTGGGATCCTGACCTCGATTTTCCATTTTGAAGTCAATACCAAGTTGAACTATTCCAACTGAGGTGGGAAGTCTCTGAACGTAGGAGTGGGCATGTTGGGCCCTGGAGGCCCGAGTCAGAAGCAGGTGCTCTCCCAGCACATTCTCCAAAGAGATGCCATTTCATCAGTTTTCAAGGTAACATGTTGATGGTGAATACTGTTAAAAAGATACTGAGGTGGTGTTGGGAAAGAGTGGTAGTGAGAGACATGGAGAAGGTCAGAGAGTGGGGCAGCTCTCAGCCTGCCCTGTGGGTTGGTGTGCTAGCCTCTGAGACTGACCTCCAGTTGGGCCCAGTGCCCCTCACCACTTTGTCCCCAGGGGTCTTGCCCATCTGTGGCCCACACTACACCCTGCTGCTGCAGTGGATTTGAATCAGAATGCAAGGCTTCCTGCACTGAATTCCCTCATCAGAATCAACACATCCTTCCACCACATGGGGACACGTTTGGAATCTTGAGTTTGCCCTTCAGCACAAAGCAGACCTAGCTTCACATTTATTCCTCCATGCCTCTCACCAAAGGGCCTTGAAAAGGACACAGAGCAGGGCCAAGCAGGGCTGAAGACCGAGTTCAAACTGTCAGGAACCTTTTGGAAATATGGCTCCCAGACAAGGCCCCTGCTAATGCTGCCCAGGAAAGCATCTACATAGGACAATACCTTCTGCCCTGCCACAGCCCCCTCAACTGACTGGTACCCCCCAGGCCATAGGCCATCCCTCTCTGTAGGCCCAGCACTCAGGATGGCTGAGGAGTCATCTGGTGGAAGGACAATAGGGCCAGCTTATCCCTGGCCTCCTGCAGAACACCCTCAACTGTGGCTGCCCAGGTTTGTGGCCACAAGCAGTGACCTTGCCCTGATGGCCCATCACATTTGCCAGCTAAGTTTGAAGGCAGACTTGGCCCACGGTTTCAGAACTGGCTCGACACATACATAAGAGCCAAGCAGACTTTATTTCTATTGCAGTCTCTGCTTGTCAGGATGTCTGGGCTTTTCCACCCTCCACCCTTCATGGTCGCCACAGCGTCAGCAGCTGTGGCCCACAGCCAACCTCACTGTCAAGGTTCAACGATGCTGCAGTCATAGCAGAAGTTGAAATTGGTGGGGGGCGGGGGGATGGGAGGCGGCTGCTCGGGAATGGGCACATTCTCCAGCTCCAACAACCGCAGCTTGGTCTCCATCGTCAACAGCTGTTCCAGGTCCAGCCGCGTCTGCTCACTGCCCATGGGACTGCCCAGCAGGGCGCTCAGCCCATCTGTCCACAGGTGGAACTGGGGACAGGGCCAGCTCCGTGAGGGTCTGCCCATCTCTTCCCCGGCCCATCTGCTCAACTCAGCTCAGCCTGGCCCAGGCACTCACCTCCCGTTTAGATGGGGCGATGAAGTTGAGGTATGCCTCCTCCTCCCCATGGTCATAGCTGACTGAGAAGGCTAACTCATAGAGATCCTGGGAAAGCCAGGGATCAGAAAGCACTGAGCAGGGAACAGGGCAGGGCAGATGCAGGTGGGAAGGAGCCCAGGCCTCCACTACACTCACCTTGTTCTGCTTCCCTGAGCCCTTCTCCCGGACATGAGGGCAGTCTTTGCCTGTTAGCAGTGCCTTGATATCAGCCACGGGGACTACAGGGAAAAGGCTGGGCTGATCACTGGGACCCAGGTGGTCCTGTGATATGGCCTGGGGAAAACAGGTGGCTGACCCTGACCCCTGACGCATTCTTACGCTGCTCAGGCAGATTTTCAGGGGTGGGTGGGCTGGAACCCTCCTCCACATCCCCATACTGCAGCACCTTGTGGTTAGGAGATAGGCAGCAGAACCACAGCTTGTCTGTGGGCAGAAAGGGAAGATGGAAGGAGTGACGAGAGGGGCCCTGACCCCAACCCAGCCACACTCTGCCCCTCCCCCCCAACTCAACCACCCTGGCGTCGCCGGCTGCTGATCTTCCGGAAGAGTGTCCCCTCACAGAGGCAGAGCAAACGCTGCTGGCGGATCAGGCCCATGAGCTCTGGCTTCAGCTTCTCCCGAAGCTCCCTGGTGGGTCAGGGAGGAGATGCTTGGTGACTGGGACTGACTTGGGTGGGGCAAGGCCTGTGGTGGAGCCGGGATTGGGACCCACTCCCATCAACTCACAGTATGGGAGGGGCCAGTGTGCCCTCCTGATGCAGCCGCTCTGTCTGTCTCAGCCGCAGCACCTCCCCATAGGGGAGTGCATTCACCTTGGTTCGGAAAAGCTCCAGGGAACTGGGCTTCAGGGCCAGCGTGCGGGCCAGCTGCTCCCGAACCACTTGCATGACCTGGGGCCACCAAGTTCAGCTCAGTGCTGTGCTCTGGACCCCTACTCAGAAGAGTCCCTGCCCTGGCTCAGGTCTCCTAGCTTCTACCCTACCTACCTTGTCAAAGTCCTCCTGGGTGGCCCGCATCTCCTTCCAGGTCTTATTAAGCAGCTGGATGCTCACACAGAAGAGCTCATGGAAACTCTGGTCTTGGCTGAAGAACATGGGTGAAAAATCCTGGGCTGTTTCGGAGCCTGGAGCAGGGGGGCAGGAGGGGCTCAGGGAGAAAGCGTGTGCAGCCCCTGGCCCTCTCTGCCCTTCCGTCCCCCGTTCCTGGACATGTTGTGCCCAGTCCCACTCACAGGGCTCCCCAATGCGGAGCAGCTCACACAGCAGCACAGTCAGCTGGATGCTGCTCCGGGCAAAGGGGCACTCATGCTTGTCTTCACGGCTGCTGTTCTCCAACACAAACTGTTGTTTGTGGCGTAGTGGAAACAGAGAATGGGATAGGAAGTTGCTAAGGCAATACGGACTCTGCTTCGGTGGTGTTCTGCCGTATCCCATCCACCCTATCACTGACCCGGCTGTAAGCACTAGGTGCATGTCTGGAGAAGTAAAGCATGTTGTCCAGGGCCAACACGCCGGGGGGCACTCGCTCTAGATCCTGTGCGGGGTTGCTGTTCTGGGGAAAGGGGGACAGACATCTCAGTAAGGACCCCAGGCCTCTGGAACAACAGCAGCCCTGGGTTGAGGCAGAGGTGGGGAGCTAGGTAGGGGTTGCTCACGGAGAAGCCCAGTTTTCGAAACTCGCGGGCACAGAGGGAACGGCGACGGTCAGCACTCAGCCCAGTCCCCAAAGACTCCCCCTCCGGATCAAAGGCAGCCTGGCGTAGGGCCTGCAGCTGCTCCCGTTGTTCCTGGGGTCATTGGAGTGGGGTAAGGGGGTGTCAGGATCATAGATTCAAGGCCATTTGCTGGCTGGCCCCAGCCATGCACACCCCAAAAGCACCCACCTGGCTGTAGGGGTCCAATGGCGTCCGCATGCGTGACTCTAGCAGCCCCAACATAAGGGCCTGCAGTACGTACAAATGATGAGCCATCTCATCTCCCAGTGGCGCTGCACTGTGGATGATGTTCTGGAGAACAGCCAGCCCATGGGTGTGAGCATGGGCTTACTGGGAGAGGGAAAGTGGGGAGGGGTCTACCTAGCCCAGTCCTTCCTACCTTATAGATGAACTGGCGAAGGTTTCTCTGCCACAGGTAGTCAAGCATGTGCTGTGTTGGGTGGGAAGGGGAGTTAGATGATTTAGGCCCACCATGAGCACCCATCCTGCAGTCCCAGGATACAGCACAGTGCCCACCAGCTCCTGCCCCCACATCCAGCCACCAGATGGGACACTCACCTTGCGTTCAGTAGAGCTGGCCCCCTGCAGCAAGGCTGTCAGCAAGGCCATAGCCTTGGTTTGTAGCTGCTGGTTCATCCTGGGGCAAGAAGAGGGCTCAGCTGGCTAGCCAAGGTCTCATTCCACTCCCCTCATC